TTTGGTATTAGCAGGTTTTACATGCACATGTAACACCTGTTAACCCTATGGTTATGGGATCTCTTTCTGCACGTCACAAGGTTTTACCAAGTTACATTCAAAATTTAATTAAGCAACTTTATTAACAATGTATGTCAATGAAATTAGCATTATAATGTTCATTGTAATTCCATGTTTTATATTATTTATATTTTAATTCCTTTATTTCAAAAGAAACTTTCACAAAAACTCTTCATCTTCGGTTTTGTTGTCCCATGATGCACAAGCATTTACAAGTCTTAGCTTTCAGTCTTTGTAACCTAAGTAATTTTTCTCTTATACTAGACCTTAATGCAGTGGTTCCCAACCTTTATGCCACCAAGGACCTCTTTTATTATTACTTTTTCCCCCACAAACCCCATGTATTTGAAAGGTTCCATCTACACAACAAACTGGTATTATTAACTACTAATTAACTCGTTTTCCCATTTTCACTACCAAATAAAAGATGTATATAACTGAGTGTGCAATTAAAAAAAACAGCAGTATTAAAAACTTACTTGTTATCGAGATGGTATTGCCTTTGCGGACTCCCAAGGGTCCGGGAACCCCAGGTTGAGAACCACTGCCTTAATGTATAGGCTGAAACTAGGTTAATTGCTCTGTTTACACATTCTCTTTTCAAATTTCTTAGGGCAAATTCCTAGAAAGGAAAAATAAATCTTTTGGTAACTCTTGATATAGGCCACACCCACTTTCTACACATAGTCATACGATTTCGCACTCAACACTATTTACCTCTATAGATTTTACAACCAATATAAAGAGCTAATTTTACACTACAGTTTTCCATTGGTTATTTTCAAATTGGTAAGCAGGATTCCATACAAGTTCCTGAATATACTCGATATTGTTCTCAGTTATATCCTTGCTACCACTTTGAAGCAACTAGAAAATTTGAGGAAATTTTATGATTGCTTCAGAATTTTATTAGTTTGAAAGTGCATAAAAAAGAATTTAAGAATAAAGTTTTAACAGTTCTTTAAGTCTAAGTAGATAAGTTACCATGGGTATGTAAAAAAAGAGGTGACAAGAAGATGCCTGCATTGTGAAATAAGCTTGAGAACTAGGAAACAAGGTCAGAAGCCTAGTTATGCAAGAAAAGTTGCCTAGAAACAAGATAAGTGCACTAGTACATGTGACAGGTTGATGGATTGTTAACCACAACCCCTTAGAACTAGGAAAGCTACGAAAAAGTTTGGTTTAGCAAGTGAAATCTGCGCGTTGAGACAATATCAATTACAGAACATGGGTGTAATAGTACAAGTGAATAGGTGACTGGCTAACATAACTATAACCAATTACTTAAGAGTTCTGGTTATGGTTTTGGATTAGCCCAGAAATTTCCCTAAAGCATCCAATAGGATTACAGGACTACTTGTGGGTGATGCTGTGTCCTATTTAGTTGATTGAAATAATACCAAGAAAATTTAGTTTAAAAACCCATGTCTGGAACTGAAAAGTCAGTTCCTCCTGACTTGAGAAGTTCTCCCAGGAGTTCCTCAAAAGCTCTGAAATCAGAAAGGCCGAAGCTATGAAAACATTCAATGTTAGCAAAATTACCACCAGCCCAACTCTGTTGTAAGTATAGTTTTTCTCTTAATCAGTTAATGTATGAAATCTATAGAATATTATGTTAAATATATCTATGTGAAAAGTATATTAACGATAATATAAGTGATTTAACCAAGTTTGAAAAACATTTAAAGTTTGATTTTGATAAACAAAGTTATACTTTTATTGAAGTACTAAATGTTTAATAAATGTTATTATAAGTGTTCACCATTGGTCTGAGACTATTTCTTTAGTCTAACTGTAAACTACCTCTAGTTAGTGACTTGTGG